TTCTAGGGTCAAGGCTAAATAGCACACAACCTGGCAAGGCATATCTCACAGACTCTGGCTGGGAGGGCTGCCAGACGTCTGAATGGCTATTAGCCAGCATGTTTCTTTGAGTTAGCATGGCTGGTACCAGAATTAAGGGATTAACAGGGTTTGGGTGTTGTGCAGCTTGTGTTCCTGCTTCTTCTCTTGCAAGATTAACATTGTTTTTCTTCATCTGTTCTGCGTTAAATTGGAGGTTATTTGGGTTGGTAGACATTCTGGTAGTTCTCTATGTATAGGGTTATAGGGTTAGACCATCTCCACCCGGGGAGGTAAACTGCGGTTGTAAACCAAATTTACCTCCCCAAGCCCAAAATTCCCCTGCCACCGGGGGTGCTAAAGGGGAGGTAAATTCAGTTTTCCCCCCCTCGGGAGGTATAGCGTTGCTAGATGTGCAATCGCTATACCAACCCAAGTACCTCCCCAACCCAACGGTTTCACAGGTCAATCCTGGTGAAATCCGGAGTTCCCCCCCCCTATTGACTAGCCTTTCACGCGCGAGGCATTGAGGATAGCAACCTGTGGTGGAAAATAATTTTTCCCAGGGTTGCTGTCCGCACGCCGCAGCTCCCGAGCTGGTAAGTATACCAACTCGGATGCCTCTTTGGGGTGGAGATGGTCTTATGTCAATATATATTCTTTCTAAGGATGACTAAGATGAAGAGAAAATTGGTGAAAGGGTGTGTAGGGTTACGGTTTGAGCGGTGAAGATGAAGGGGAGGTCCAGCGGGCAAAAGGCGGATAATCCTGGATGGGAGAAGGGAACTAAGTGCCATGTAGAGCGGATTTTGAGAGGGAGCAGCGGTGGGCCGCTACACTACACTACGCTACGGGCCCATGTAGCTGTAGTGGCGCCATTTTTTTTGTGTAGTGTTAGCGCGCCGCTACTGCCGCTGCGCTACGCTATTTTGTAGCAGCGCTAACACTAGCCATTTTTGGTGTAGTGTTAGCGCGCCTCTGGAGCCACTACGCTGCGTTATGCTACGCTACAGCGTTTCTAGCGTCAAAAAATGCCTAAAAACCACTAAAAATTGCTGTAACACAGCATAGCGGGCGGTTTTTTGTGCCCTGTGCGCATAGTGTTAGCGCAGATGGGGGGAATCACACTAAACGTTAGCACAATTTTTTGCCCCATGCGCATAGCATTAGCACAGAAATTGAAAAAAGTGCTAACGGTACACTAAATTGTAGCAATTTTTTGCTACACTACACTACACTACACTAACACTAAGGTTAGTGTTGAAATTCTGTAATCCACAGTGTTCTAAATATCAGCACATCAGGCATGGACTTGGTAGCCTAGTTGGTAAAGGCAGCACTTCTAGTATAGTGTCTTAACTTCAAGCTAAGGTTGCTGATTCAAATCCTGCCCAAGTCAATCATTTTCTGCTAACTGTCCAAAAAATGCATTGTTAATTTTAACAGTTAGCGTAGCTGGCCTACTGTTGGAGGGAGAAGGACACGTGTCCAGCCTCTCTTAACTCTGACCACGGCTATACTGGTTGAGAGGCACTAAGATACCGCATGGCTAGTCTAGTCATGTGTCCTTCTTATTTGGAAGGATGGTGGTGCCATGGACAACACCCACCTACGCCTTGCTTCAGAAAGCAACCATGATTGGTTTCAATTTCACATTTTTCTTTTGGTTCCTTTTTTTGGCAGAGTGAGGTTGGGATGATGGTTAGTCCACTCAACCTTCTTTTAGTGAGGAGAGACAGAGCAGGGGCCTAGCCTTTGTGCTAGCCCCTGCTCTCTCTTCTGTAATCTGCCTAGATTATAATGCACTCCCGTATTTTTTCAGTGTCTATGGACACCTAGAGATTCCTGGAACATGATCTGTCTTGATCAGGTTCCCAAGACTCCGAGTGTGGGTTGGGGGGAGTTCGCTTGGGCTGTGGCTGATAGCACACAAGCCGGCGAAGCGCCGCTCGCAGGAGAAGCTGCCAGGCGTCCGAAGAGCCTGGAACAAACTTACACAGCCGGGCGAATCAAAAATCAGTTGGACGCCCCGGCGGCGCACTAGCCCTGAGTGCGCCTTTACAACCACTTTTAGAGCATCTCTAACGGTCTGGGGGTGGATCGGCTTGCCTTTGGCGGCCTGGAGTCAGATGTCCCGAGGTGTCACCGGTTTGTCACAGTTGTCCTAAATGCGGACTGTGAAGTTGAGCGGGGGTGGGTGAAACACGGCCAAAGCTGGCCAAACTCAGCAGCCGAGGGGCAGCTTTGGTCGACCCCCGCGGATGGTGCAACCACTCGCTCGGCAGCTCAACTAGCGACCAAAGACCCTCGCGGCCCGGCTGAAGTCGGTCCCAGGTCCTGCATTCACCGGGAACGGTTGGAGTATGCTTCTTAAAGCGCCACCGGGGACCCCACGAGGGCGCAATTGTGCCTG